CTAGGATTACAGGTGTGAGCCACCATGCCTGGCTGTCAAAAAGTTTTTTTTTTTTTTGAGACAGAGTCTCACTCTGTCACCCAGGCTGGAGTGCAGTGGTGTGATCTCGGCTCACTGCAACCTCTGCCTTTTGGGTTTAAGTGATTCTCCTGCCTTAGCCTCCCAAGTAGCTGGGACTAAAGGTGCCCACCACCATGCCTGGCTAATTTTTTGTATTTTTTTTTTTTTTCTTTTGAGACGGAGTTTCGCTCTTGTTACCCAGGCTGGAGTGCAATGGCGCGATCTCGGCTCACCGCAACCTCCGCCTCCTGGGCTCAGGCAATTCTCCTGCCTCAGCCTCCTGAGTAGCTGGGATTACAGGCCCGCGCCACCACGCCCAGCTAGTTTTTTTGTATTTTTAGTAGAGACGGGGTTTCACATGTTGGCCAGGATGGTCTCGATCTCTCGACCTCGTGATCCACCCGCCTCGGCCTCCCAAAGTGCTGGGATTACAGGCTTGAGCCACCGTGCCCGGCAATTTTTTGTATTTTTAATAGAGATAGGCTTTCATCATGTTAGCCAGGATGGTCTAGATCTTCTGACCTCCTTATCTGCCCGCCTCGGCCTCCCAAAGTGCTGGGATTACAGGGGTGAGCCAACATGCCTGGTCCAAAAAATATTTTTAACCCTTTGATGTATTTGACAGACTTCCCGATATCAAATTTCAGCTTAAAAATTGTCTTCTTTTGCTGCATGATGTGGTTTACACCTGTAATCCCAGAACTTTGGGAGGCTGAGGCAGGCGGATCACAAGGTCAGAAGTTCAAGACCAGCCTGGCCAACATAGTGAAAACCTGTCTCTACTAAAACTACAAAAAATTAGCCAGGTGTAGAGGCAGACGCCTGCAGTCCCAGATACTCAGGAGGCTGAGGCAGGAGAATCACTTGAACCCAGGCAGTGAACAGTGTTTATAGTGAGCTGAGACTGTTCAACCGCACTCTAGCATGTGCAAAACAGGGAAAGTCTATTGCAAAAAAAAAAAAAAAAAAAAAAAAGACCGGGCACAGTGGTTCACACCTGTAATCCCAGTACTTTGGGAAACCAAGTTGGGCAGATTATTTAAGATCAGGAGTTTAAAACCAGCCTGGCCAACATGTGAAACCTTGTCGCTACTAAAAATACAAAAATTAGCCGGGGTTGGTGGTGGGCGCTTCTACTCCCAGCTACTTGGGAGGCTGCGGCAGGAGAACAGCTTGAGCTCAGGAGGCGGAGGCTGCAGTGAGCTGAAAATTACACCACTGCACCTCTGACTTGGAGACAGAGTGAGAGTCAGTTGCAAAAAAAATAAGTTGCCTTTTGTTTTTGACCCCTAAGGTTTGGATGCTACAGAGGGCCAATGCAGCATCTAAATGTATAATAAATAAATGTATTTGATATGTTGAATTAGATGGGAAGCATTGTCAAATTAAAAATGATGTTTGGGTCAGGTGTGGTGACTCATGCCTGTTATCATAGCACTTTGGGAGGCCAAAGCAGGCAGATCACTCGCGGTAAGGAGTCCAAGACTAGCCTGACCAACGTGGCAAAACCCTGTCTCTACCAGAGAAAAAAAAATAACCAGGTGTGTTTGTGTGTGTCTGTAGTCCCAGCTACTTGGGAAGCTGAGGCGGGAGAATCACTTGAACCAGGGAGGCAAAGGCTGCAGTTAGCCGAGATTGCGCTGTTATAAGTAAAATTTTGATGCCACAAAGGGAATAGCACTCAAAGATATGTCCTCTCAGCAAGGCAGTTTATTTCTATAAAAGGGTGCAGGGCGCAAGGATGGAGCAATGATAACTGCCGCACATTTGGACAAGGCGGGACAGGGGTACTTATGCCTGACAGGGGGTCGTCCCATATTGGCTAAGGTTAGACTGCGCAAGCTAGACTAATCCCGATTGACTATTTTAAAAAGAGCATGGGTCCAAGCTGGAGTGGCAGAGTGGGTATTTTGGTGGGAAGAATGATTTAAGGGCATGTCAGATAAAGTAGCTAGGGGTTATCAGGTGAGTGGGATGAGTCAGGATGGAGCCGGGGGCTGGGGGAACAGATGTGAACTACTCATGAACCAGTGGAGAAGGTTGTTTACTGGAATTACAAGGAAGTTAAACTTTAAAATAGAGATTTAAAGAATAAGAGAGCTGAACATACTGACATACTGTTTCTTTGAAGACACACTTGGGGTTTACTACAACAGTGCCACTGCACTCAAACTTGGGCAACAGAGATAGACTCCATCTAAAAAAAAAAGTAAATAATAATACAATAAAATAATGTTGGACTTTCTTACTTTCTTTTCTTTCTTTCTTTTTTTTTTTAAAGGTGGGGTTTCACCATGATGGCCAGGCTTGCCTTGAACTCCTGACCTCAGGTGATCCACCCACCTCGGCCTCCCAAAGTGCTAGGATTACAGGCATGAGCCACCGCACCCAGCACTGTTGGAACTTCTTAACTCACATTTACATAATATACTATTAATAGTTAAAAATTGTAAGTAATTTCAAACATCTAATACATCTAAGTGTATGTTAGTTACTCATAATTATGATTATTACAATAAATTATTGTAGACTGCTGATGTAATTTTTTTTTTCTTTTTCTTTTTTTTGAGACAGAGTCTCATTCTGTTGCTTAGACTGGAGTGCAATGGCAGGATCTCTGCTCACTGCAACCTTGGCCTCCCGGATTCAAGCAATCCTCTTGCCTCAGCCTCCTGAGTAGCTGGGATTACAAGAATGTGCCACCACCCTAGGCTAGTTTTTGTATTTTAGTAGAGACTGGGTTTCACCATGGCCAGGATGGTCTTAATCTCCTAACCTCATTATCTTGCCTGCCTAGCCTCCCAAAGTGCTGGGATTACAGGCATGAGCCACTGTGCCTGGTGTGTTTCTTGTTTTTAATGTTTGGCTAGTAGGAAATTTAAAATTTACATGTGGCTCACATTTTATTTTGAAGGATTATGTACTTTTAAGAATCTTAGGTTGGGCTGGCTCATGCTTGTAATCCCAGCACTTCGAGGCCGAGGCAGGCAGATCACAAGGTCAGAAGTTTGAGACCAGCCTATCCAATATGATAAAACTCCGTTTCTGAGCCGGGTGCGGTGGCTCACGCCTGTATTCCCAGCACTTTGGGAGGCCAAGGCGGGTGGATCACAAGGTCAAGAGATCGAGACCATCGTGGTCAACATGGTGAAACCCCATCTCTACTAAAAATACAAAAAATTAGCTGGGCATGGTGGCACGCCTGTAATCCCAGCTACTCAGGAGGCTGAGGCAGGAGAATTGCCTGAACCCAGCAGGCAGAGGTTGCGGTGAGCAGAGATCGCACCATTGCACCCCAGCCTGGGTAACAAGAGTTAAACTCCGTCCCAAAAACAAAACAAAACAAAACAAAACAAAAACCCACAAAAACCTCTGTTTCTACTAAAAAACAAAAAAAATTAGCTGGGCATGGTGGCGCACGCCTGTAACCCCAGCTACTCGGGAGACTGAGGCAGGAAGGTCACTTGAACCCAGGAGGTGGAAGTTGAGGTGAGCTGACATTGTGCCACTGCACTCCAGCCTGGGTGACAAAGTGAGCCTCTGTCTAAAAAAAAAAATTCAGGTTGGCCAGGTGTAGTGGCTCATAAATGTTATCCCAGGACTTTGGGAGGCGGAGGCAGGTGAATCACAAGGTCAGGAGTTTGAGACCAGCCTGGCCAAGACAGTGAAACCCCATCTCTATTAAAAATACAAAAAGTGGCCGGGCCTGGTGATGACTGCCTGTATTCCCAGGGAGGCTGAGGCAGAGAATTGCTTGAATCCAGGAGGTGGAGGTTGCAGTGAGCTACAATAACACCACTGCACTCCACCCTGGGTGACAGAGACTCCGTATCAAAAAATAAATTAATAAAATACAATAAAGTATCAAGTTATCGGGGTGTAGTGACTCACGTCTGTAATCCCAGCACTTTGGGAGGCCAAGATGGGTGAATTACCTGAGGTCATTGTAAACTTGCTCGCTCTGAATGAAGAGACCCCCAACAGGCTTTGTGTGAGTAACATGGCTGTTTATTCACCTGGGTGCAAGTGGGCTAAGGTTGCAAATTAAGTCAGCAAAGGGTGGTGGGATAGGGGTTGGCTTTATAGGTTGTGGGAGAGGCAGTGGAAAATTACAAAAGTTAAGTTTAAGGTGGGTTTTCTGCAAGGTGGGAGGGTGTCGTAGAGTGTGGCCTCATGAGGTTGGCCAAGGTCGGTTACAAATTCTAATGGCCTTGTCAGTTGAGGCCTGAATAAAAAATAGAAGAATGTCTCAAGTTAGTTAGGCACCGCAGAGGTTGATCGGTTCTTTCAGAAACTCATCCAGGGTGTAGGTGCAGGTCACAGAGATTACCATGCCGTTCATGGGGGCGAGGTCAGACCTTACAGTCAGGAGTTGGAGACCAGCCCGGGCAACATCATCTAACCCCATCTTTACTAAAATGCAAAAAAATTAGCTGGGCATGATGGTCCATTTCTGTAATCCCTGCTACTCCGCAGAAGAATAACTGGAACCCGGGAGGCAGAGGTTGCGGTAAGCCGAGGTGGCGCCATCATACTCCAGCCTGGGCAACAGAGCAAGACTGTCGCAACGAAAACAAAACAAAACAATCTCAGGCTGCCTGCTCAATGGACCAGAAGCCAGGAAGATTATAAAAGCTGAAATCTAAAAATAATTGTTATTCTATTCTTTTCACGTGTGAGCAACCATATGTTGTATTTACAAATACAGGAGACGTTACACACAAGGCTAAAGGCAAACACCCTCTGGGGTGCTCGGGGCTCAGCCCAGGGAGGAAGTCCTGCCTCAAAAGGCTGCACCTTCAGCTGTCACTCTTTCTTAATTCAGCCATCATTTGGTCTTGTCTTCTGTCACTCAGCACCCTGGGGCGGGGCAGGGTCTTAAAGCTTCTCCAATCAGCGACGCGTCCCTGGGAACCAATCAGGCAGCAGCAGGAGCGGAAAGGGCGGCTTTGGGGATTTGGCCCGGGCTTTGTCTCTTGCCGGAGCCGAAGTTTTGGATCTGGTTTTTGCTCTTCTGTTTCCTCTGCTGCTAGAGGCGCAGTCTCTGTGGCCCTGTCACCTGCGGGTACTGGCGGTCCACAGCTAAGACGTCAGGACCTCCGGATACCTAGAAATGGTAGGAGTACTTGTTCGACCTCCCGGGAGAGGGGAAGGGGCACGCTGGAACCGGTGGGAAGCGGCTGTGGCGAACGCAGGCCTCCCCCAGGTCAGCCCCGCAGTCTGTTCCCCGGCTCTCCTTGCCCAGCTCGACCTCGGTCCCCTTCAGCAAAAAGATGGCGGCTGGGCAGGGACTGTGCCCTGGCCGGAGCCTCTCTGGGCGGTTTTGCATCCGCAGCGCCGCGTCTCTTCCAGATTCTCTCCCAGGGACAGCGGGAGGGTCATCAGGGGAGAATCCTGACTCGAGGTGCGGGTCATGAATGGGAAGATACTTGGGTTTGGTTTATGGGGTTCTCAGTTTCTCTTTTCTCCTATTAAAAATGTATGGGAATTGTTGCGAAAATACTTAAGAATTTAAACAAGGACTGGTTCAGAAATTGTAGAGCTCCCAGCTGTGGGTTGTAGTTTGTGGTCCATGGAAGAATCTTGGAGGAAAGATGCATGATAAAAATAACCAAATTCGGTGGGGGTGGGGAGCGAATAAAAAAGAAAAAAGGAACTAAGCAAACCAAATTCATTAATCAGTTAGGTCAATTTATGTAAAAAAACTTTTTTTTTTTTTTTTTAAGACGGGTTTCACCATGTTGCTCAGGCTGGTCTTGAACTCCCGACCTCAGGTGATCCGCCCGCCTTGGCCTCCAAAGTGCTTGGATTACAGGCGTGAGCTACCACGCCCGGCCCATTTATGTAGTTTTTAAATAAATTTTCACCTTGAGCGTACAAATTTCCTGGTTTTGAAATCAGAGCTTGGAAGTTTATCGTTGGTTAAGCCTGAATTTGTTTCCCCAATGTAGTAATTTCTTTAATTTTTCTTTTCTTTTTTTTTTTTTTTGAGACAGAGTTTCACTCTCGTCGCCCAGGCTGGAGTGCAGTAGCGCTCGGTTGACTGCAACCTTTGCTCCCAGGTTCAAGCGATTATCCTGCCTCAACCCTTCAGAGTAGCTGGTACTACAGGCATGCGCTACCACGTCGGGTTAATTTTTGTATTTTTAGTAGAGTCGGGGTTTCACCGTGTCGGCCAAGATGTTCTCCATCTCCTGACCTTGTGATCTGCTCACCTCCCAAAGTGTTGGGATTACAGGTGTGAGCTACAGTGCCAGGCCGACTTTAGTTTTTTTAAGTGTAAATCGCATTTTATCCATAGAGTTTAAAAGGTAAGAAAATACTTATAATACTTACAAAGGGCATAAAGGTGTGCATTTCAAAAAATAATCATGTTCTTCATTTCTTAAAAATTATTTACCTTTTTATTTCCCAAATAGGAATTTTTTTCAGGTGTATCTTTTATGACTGAGTGATTTCAAGTAGAATTCCGAGGCTGATTTTAAAATGCTACCAAGAAAAACAATAGGGAAAATCTCTCTTGCATTTTGGCTGTAGAAAATAAGTACCTTTCCGGTCAGGCACAGTAGCTCACAGCCTGTAATCCTAGCACTTTGAGAGCCCGAGGCTGGTGGATCACCGGAGGTGGGAGTTTGAGACCAGCCTGGCCAATGTGGCGAAACCCAGTCTCTACTAAAAATACTAAAACTAGCCGGGTGTGGTGGTGGGCCTCTATAATCCCAGTTACTGGGGAGGCTGAGGCAGGAGAATCGCTTGAACCCAAGGGGGCGCAGTTTGCAGTGAGCTGAGATTGTGCCACTTCACTCTAGCCTGGGTGAAAATGTGAAACTCCTTCTCAAAAAAAAAAAAAAAAATTTTCCACATGATAATTTGGTAGATAATTGGTGAGTTATGTCGTCATAAAAATATCACTTCCGGCCGGGCGCGGTGGCTCAAGCCTGTAATCCCAGCACTTTGGGAGGCCAAGGTGGGTGGATCACAAGGTCGAGAGATCGAGACCATCCTGGGCAACGTGGTGAAACCCCGTCTCTACTAAAAATACAAAAAATTAGCTGGGCATGGTGGCACGTGCCTGTAATCCCAGCAACTCAGGAGGCTGAGGCAGGAGAATTGCTTGAACCCAGGAGGCGGAGGTTGCGGTGAGCCGAGATCGCGCCATTGCACTCCAGCCTGGGTAACGAGAGCGACACTCCGTCTCAAAAACAAAACAAAACGAAAAATATCACTTCCTCTTTTTGCAGGGTAAATTTGTGACAGTGAGTATCTGTGTTCTGTATCCTGTTATCTGGACTTGTGAGTTTCATGCTAAAATTTATGAGATAAGCCGGCAGTGGCTCACACCTGTAATCTTAGCACTTTGAGAGGCCGAGGTGGGTGGGTCACCGGAGGTCAGGAGTTCAAGACCAGCCTGGCCATCATGATGAAACCCCATCTTTAAAAAAAAAAAAAAAAATTTATGAGATAAAACTTAGTACCTCCTAGAAATGTTCCCATATGACTAATTGTTTACTACATGATTTTTAATGGAAAAATATAACAAGACATATATTGTCTAAAAGGAATATTTTTGCTTTTCTCATTGAGGTGTAAAATTTAAGCACCTTATAATTTTGTCCCTTTAGATGAACATTGTGTTTGAATAACATTGTTTAATTTTTCACACATGTAGTTTCGGAAACCAGCTTAAGTAACTCTGACATGGAATTCAGAGCTTGAGCCTAATACCTCCAAGCGAAGGCGAACTTCCAAAAGAAGGTTATTAACAGCCCAATTAATTGTTTTCTGAAGAGCCTCCCTTGCAGATGTCCCATCCTACTCACCCCAGCCGTGGAAGAGAAACTACAGAACGCTGTAAAGCTGGGGACCCACAGGAAAATGCAGTTAAGGTTAAGAAGGAAAAGAACTGATAGTATTTTTGTGAAGGTGAAGTTGTTGTTGTTTTGAAGCAGTTTCTAGACTGTTTAAAATAAAGCAAAGTTAGAGTTATGTAAAAAAAATAAATTCCAGCTGGGTGTGGTGGCTCATGCCTGTCATCCCAACACTTTGGGAAACCAAGGCAAGTGGATCATGAGGTCAAGGGTTCAAGACCAGCCTGGCAAACATGATAAACTTCGACTTACTAAAAATACAAAAATTAGCCAGGTGTGGTGGCACGCACCTGTAGTCCCAGCTACTTGGGAGACTGAGGCAGGAGAATTGCTTAAACCTGGGAGGCGGAGGTTGCAGTGAGCCAAGGACACACCATTGTGCTCTAGCCTGGTGACAGAGTGAGATTTCATCTCAGAAAAAAGAGAAAAAAAGACCTGGCGTGGTGGCTCACACCTTTAATCCCAGCACTTTGGAAGGCCGAGGCCGGCAGGTCAAAAGGTTGAAAGATGGAGATCATCCTGGCCAACATGGTGAAACCACGTCTCTATTAAAAATACAACAAAATAGCTGGGTGTGGTGGCACATACCAGTAATCCCAACTACTAGGGAGGCTGAAGCAGGAGAATTGCTTGAATTTGGGAGGAGGAGGTTTCAGTGAGCTGAGATCACACACCGCACTCTAGGCTGGCGACAGAATGAGACTCTGTCTCAAAAAAAAAAAAAAATTAATAATAAATAAATAAATCCCAAAGGAGCATTGCAACAGGAGTAAATACCTACTATAAGATCTGTAAAAATTATGAAGTTCAGACAGACAAGGGTCTTCTTTAATAGGAAGGAACAAACAAGATTAGAAAGAAGGTGGAAGGGAAATAGCAAATAGGAGGTGAAAAACTCAGATTCTAGATTAATATTTTACCCTGAAATCAGCATGTCCTTAAGAAGGATATAAAATGGGGTTGTATTTGGACTCAGATGGAGTGTAGCTCAATGTGCAGGAGCCTGTAGGCAGGAGATAAACTTAAGTTTGATTAAAAAGTATTTTATTTTGACCACTGAAGAAAAATTCAGCTTAATTTTTTATTTTTTTATTTTTATTTTTATTTTTGAGAGAGTCTTGCTCTGTTGCTAGGCTCCAGGCTAGAGTGCAGTGGCGTGATATCGGCTCACTGCAACATCTGCCTCTTGGGTTTAAGCAATTCTCCTGCCTCAGCCTCCCAAGTAGTTGGGGCTACAGGCATGTACCACCACTTCCAGCTAATTTTTGTATTTTACTAAAGACAGGGTTTCACCATGTTGGCCAGGATGGTCTTGATCTCTTGACCTTGTGATCCACCCGCCGTGGCCTCCAAAAGTGTTGGGATTACGGGCATGAGCCACCGCACCTGACCTCAGCTGATTTTTTAAAAATGAGAACAAAAAGAAAATGTGCAGTCTATGTGTGGCTCTGTAATAGGCAAGATAAGAGCACCAACTAAATTATAATGGAAAGCGTGTTTCTTTCCATAGACTGTTTTTGGAGAACACAAAGGATAGAGAATTTTATTAATCACAACTATTTATCAGGATTATCTATGTGCTTCATCTTCCCCCATTTTTTTCTTTGTCTCTCTCCTTCCTTCCTTCCTTCCTTCCTTCCTTCCTTCCTTCCTTCCTTCCTTCCTTCCTCCATCCCTCCCTCCCTCCCTCCCTCCCTCATTCCTCCTATCTCCTTTCTCCTTCCTCCTTTCTCCCTTCTCTCTTCTCTCTTCTCTCTTAATTTTCTCCCCCGGGTTCAAGCGATTCTTCTACCTCAGTCTCCCTAGTAGCTGAGATTATAGGTATGCACCACCATGCCTGGCTATTTTTTTGTATTTTTAGTAGAGCCAGAGTTTCTCCATGTTGGTCAGGCTGGTCTTGAACTAGTGATTTCAGGTGATTCACCTACCTTGGCCTTCCAAAATGCTGGCATTACAGGCGTGAGCCACCATGCCAGGCCAAATTTCTTACATTTGACTTTCTGTGGATTGTATTTTTTATAATACAGTGTTTTGCTGAGTTGTGTTAGTAGTTTATCAGATTATGAAACTAGAGGGAGGTTACAGGAGTCCACAGTTTTTACAGAGTAGCTCAGAAGCATAGATAGTCCTTATGGGGATTGTGACTGGGATCTGGCATTGGGACAATGTTGTGAGACTGAGCCCTGAATCAGGGTCTGCTCTGACTCTGGATGGTGTCAGAATTCAAATTCAAATGTTAGTCAATGAG